CGAAGTTACAGTTCATAATTTGATTTTATTGGCGTCATTGTTCTCTTCGCGCGTGCTGACTAAAGTGCAAAGAGATTAAAGCAGTCTGTCCCATTCCGCACATTCACAGAAGTGATAGGATTTCAACAAATTTATTAAAATATATTTTAATATAGAAATAACTAGGAATATCAATATTGCAAGATTATTCACTTGTCATCAAAATCACTTTCCCCTCCAAGGCTCAGTGAATCAACTGATATCTCTGCAGTGCTTCTGACCGGGAGGTCCAGGGTTTGAGTCCCGACGGAAGCAGGATTCTCGGCACAAGCTTGAGAACTAGGTCGAATTCAGTGGCTGTCCGGAGAAGAATTCTAGCGTCCGGCTGGTTCAATCGGTAGTTTTCCATGGGTGTGCCGATCAACATCAGGCGAATGTCGGAGCAGTACTCTTTACAAATGCGTCACGGACCGCGCGCGATCTTTCCTTCCTCTTCCTAGTCCTATCCTCGCCCTTACACTTACAAGTGCGACACTAACACACATATCGAGAGACAGGTCTGGAGCTTAGAGCTCCAGAACAGCTGTCCCAACAGTGGTGGTTTCCCGCTGGTGGAAGATACCTGATTGAGGCGAATAACCGACGGTAGATCGGCGTCGAATGTTACCACCCAGTGGGGGAAGATCACTGACACCACTAAAGGAAAACGCATGCATTACACTTACGAGAGAAATGATGATAGCCGTTGACACACCCGGAACCACTACTGAATCAATCAATCGAAATCCCCCTCCTTCCTAAAAGTGAACACATCTTTTTGATCTCTCCCAAAAGTATTTTTACTGCCTCCTTCCCGACCCAGGCCACAGCGCATGCGCAGCGCAAGGGAGAAGAGCTCCCCTGCGGCGGGCGGGGAGGAGGAGGGGGGAGGGGTCGCGGAGGGGAAGGAAGGGACGCCGGCGCACATAAAACTGCGTAACGACTCGTGTAACTTCATAAAAGCGCTGTAACGACGCCGACTGGGGCGGCGGCGCAGCTCCCCTGCTGGCCCGGTCGCCGCCCGCGCTGCGCCGTGATTGCTGCCGCTCAGCCAGACGTCGTCGCCGATTCGCGTCGACCAACGTCCACGACCTATGTGTCAGTACCTCTGCATTTAACCTGTTTCTGAATTTTCACAACGTTACATCTAGCCATATTTCACTGATATGGAAGGTGTGCTCCCATTTCAAAGTGGATTCCAGTATAATACTGAGAAATTGTGTATTTTGACAAATACGGTTATTTGGAATTAAGTTAATTATAATTATTTGTTTCGTCTTGGTTTAAGTAAAAAACATTTGCTGAAAACCAGTCATTAGTATTAATATTAGCACAAATCATTTGACTGAGAACATGCTTTGTATTTGCTTCGAAACCTTTCTGTAAAAAATCACCAGCAAGTAAGAGGAATGTAGAATTAATGTTATCAGTCACACGAGGATATTCACTCACACATAAAGAATTGTGTTTCTATAATATACCCTTGTGACAGACCATTCGTTGCTGTTTTGTACTGAAAATAATGATCATTGTAAAATATAGATTTAGTATGTTAATTTGAAATTCCAGAAAATTTGAGATTAAATTAGTGAAGCCAAAAAAATGAATTTACTAAATAATGCATAATTGTGTGCCGACTCGGTGAACGAGGTCGCTAAGACACGAGTGCAGTAGCGAAGTCGGTTCAACGGGTCTCGGATTTGAGCCCTGTGTGAACATAATTGTAGATTTCTCCACAGTGGCAAGATTGTAGCTTTTCCAAATGCCATGTGTAATATACTTTTTCTTACTGTCCCTTACGAGACGTGAGACAATTTGGTCTGTCGGTGGACAGTGGGTGCAATGCAATGTCAATGGGGCTACGAACCACCAAGTTCCTCCACCAGCGGGACACCATTAAACCAGGAATTACCCACCAGAGTGGCACCGCCCCCCCGGGACAAGCCCTAAGCTCCCAAATATTCTTCTGGCATGTGTGGTATAGTGCACGTAAGTATAAGTGTGCAAAAGAAATGTGTGAGGATGGGACAAGGGATAGGAAGGAAATATCGCGCATGGCCCTTGGCCCTTTTGTAAAGAGTGCTGCATTTACCTGGTGCCCATCAAGAAACCACGGAAAAGTGCCGATCAGAGCGGCCGACCGCCAGAATTCTCCTCCGGACAACGACTAAATTCGACCTACCTTACAAACTAGTGTCGAAAACCTTGTCACGGTGGGCACTCGAATCTAGGACCTCCCGGTCAAAGGCACTGCCGTGACATCAGTTGATGAGATGCATTAAGCCACCTCTCTCGGAGTGAAATGAATGAATTAATTGTGAAAGAGGTTTAATTTTAGATGGAGATGCATGCATGGGGAATGATCAATGAATTAATGATCCCAGTGCTCGAGTCCCAGCGATAGCGGGATTTGCTTGTCTGCTAGGTCGAATTCAGTCGCTGTCTGGGGGGGAATTCTAGCGTCCGGCTGCTCTGATCGGTAGTTCTCTGTGGTTTCTCCGATCAACACTAGGCGTATACCGGAGTAGTACCCTAACAAACGGACCGCGAACCACGTGCGATATTTGGTACCTCATCCTTGTTATATTCTCACCCCTTACTTAAACACATTTACTCTTACATGCACTACACTACCACAAATACCAGGAGACCGGTCGGGAGCTTAGAGTTTGTCCCATATGGGGCGGCGCCACACTGATGGTAGATACCTCGTTGAGGAAAACTCAGCTAGCCGGCGGTAGGGCGGCGCCAGATGACCACAGCAACCTTCCGAGAGAAAATCATGCACTACACTTTCGGGAATAATCACCCTAGGCGTTGTTGTACCCGGAATCCCTAACAATCAATCAATAAACGGTCGCCGTGAGTCGTTGGCTTGACGGGGGATCAGCAGTGCGCTGGTGTCTCCATCGGCACTCGGAGACGCCGCGTCTCCTGCCCATACACACACACACACACACACACACAGGCAAACGGCGACGTACTACGCGCACATATTCTTGCTCCTCCCGCACAGCCCGGCACAGCACGCCCCGGCAGAAAGTGCGAGTTCCATCAACCAACGTTCTCCAAGGGCGCGCGCAAACCTCAAGACTCACCACTGGCCTTTCTTAAAAGTTTATTTCCGAGCGGGCCTGACAGACGCCACCTCACCCCTCCATTTAGCGCAGGTGCGCCCCTCGGCGTCGCCTCCACAGCGCCGGGCACGCAAATCTGTGATGAGCACTCCGACTGCCCCCCCCCCTCCCCGACTGCGTCTGGCTCAGGCACGACGGTGCACATGTCCCTGTCCGCGCCATAGGACTAAAGCTTTCCTCCGGCCCGACTGGCCCCGAAGCGTTTCGCCAAGACGCCACAGTATTTACTATGTATTTGAATTTTTCGATTAGATTCAGTTTTTATTAGTTTGTTACCAAGAAGAGCCTCCCGTCTGGCTGCTTGAGCCGTAAGACAGTAGCGCAATGAACCATATTTACAAAAATACAGAAATTCTCGTCTCCACAGAGGTACTCGGGGAGGAGGGGGATATGCGCTCTGCAAGCACTTCTGGGGCAGGTAGTTGGCCCAGGTAGGCTAAGTATACTCACGATCGACGTGAGAGTCTCCGCGGAGTTTTGGGCCACAATATATTATGTAACTCATCGAAAGTGCGCGCATCGAGAGCTGCTCATCATGTAAAATAAAATACAATTTCACGCGCGGCGAAATCCCCTCGCGGAAACCTCTTCAGTTGCATTACACGGTACCAACAGCTTTATTACATAAATGTCCTTTATAACTAATTGTCTCATTTTTCTCATATTTCATATTTCTTATGAAAATGTTCATTAGAGGCAGAAGTAATTGCTTTGTTCTACGTACTGTGCAAAAACAGAATTGGTTACTATAGAAAAGTAAGTTAAATTTAAAATATTTAACAATTAGTTATAAAACTGCCGAAATCTTTGAAACCATTCATAATACAAACTTATCAAGAAATGTTATTAAATATTATTAATATTCATTAAAATAAGTATCTTAACTGCAGTTTCTGATATAATTATGAAATAAGTTGGAATGTGTTATTTTACATTATCCGCTCCCGTGCAATTTCTCGCAATACCACAGCGTTATCTATGACAGGACGTCCATATAAGCTTCATTAATTTCAAACAGAAATTACACGATTACTAAGTTTTACAACCACTTCTACATGACCTTTTTTTAAAGACCTAAATTTGTACAATAGGCTTTGTATCAGGCAAAAATCTTTATCTTCAATTTTGTAGTTTTTAATTTTTGTCGCAATTTTTGAAAAAACGAGCAATACCCGCGTATTGGACTAGCACCATATTTTTACGGTACCTTATTACATACGTGGAGAAAACTTAAAGAAAAAGTTTGAAGCTGTTTTTTAAAATATTTTTTTCGTACATTTCAAGCGCAAATTACACAAAACTACTCCTTTTTTCTAAAGTTGTACATGGCCTTTCTTAAATAAGCTAATTCGGCACAACATATTTTGTCTAAAGCAAAATCTCTATCTTCAATTTTGTAATTTAAAAAAAATATATTTTTGCAATTTTCAAATAATCAGAGGTTCCAACGAAATTGAGATCTGCACCATTCTCTTGAACTTCCTTTGTTCTGTTCAACAGACTTTTTTTTTAATTGAGCTATTTCTTGAAAATTTCAAAAATGTGCGAGTGGTTTTATGTATATCGCCCTCCTCAACATTAAAATACCTCTTTCACATTCCAGGGGCCGCGACATCAACCAGAATTACTGAGAAATATCAGTTTTGGAGAAAATAGTCTGAACAGTTTATGCGCTAGCTTTGTGCACAGATGAACAGTCGGACGGACAGACAGACACGTTTTGCCGTCGATCGATTTCCGACGTTGTCCGAGTGTCGGCAGACTTCGTACGAATGATGTCCGCCAGCGCTCCCTGCAGAGGCTCGGAAAGAGTTGTCAAGGAGAAAAAAGATCTCTATCGGAGAAGTAGAGGCAGTCTCTAGTACAGGAGGCGTTTCAAATACTCGCGAGGCATAAGCGAATAGGCTACGACCGGCAGTTACCCCTTTGAGAGAAGGTGGAATTGAACACAAAATTATGATTTTGAACGAAAATGAAGCAACTGATGTAAGTAGCGCATGATATGCAATCATCTGTCTGTGAATAATTGTACTTTGTTATTGAAGCACGTGCCAAACTACAGGAGGTCTACAGGTGAATACTATTAATGACCTCTCCCAGTGTGGCAATTATTTAAAAAACTTTATCAAAAAACGAATAATTTGAAACTAGAAAAGACTGTGTTCTATAAAGAGGGAAGAACCTTGTAATATGATTCGAGATGCGCCCGTTTCAGCTCGTGGTTCGTGGCTTTGTGTGAAAGGGTTGTCTATTCCAAAAGCTAGTAGTAGATGGCGCTGATAGAAAGATGCCACGAAGTACCATCAAAGGTTACGAGAACAGGGAAGGTCGGAATCCACAGAGCGCACGAAGTCAGCGCCTACAGTCCTGTGCAAATCTGTGATATCTGCTGCAAAAACAAGGAAATTAAGGTAAGTGATGATGGATATTATATCTATTAAGTAATGGGAATATGTATCAGAATCAACGAAATTGTTCACAATTGTGGATACTTCATTGCCACATAAAGTGATTAATAATTGATTGTTGCTGCCAATAATGTTCTATCATAATAATATTGTGTGTTTTGATTGATACTTGTAGAAGGTTAGTAGCAAGAAACGTTTCAGTAAAAACATGGAAATATGCCCTTAAACTCAATCAAAAACCAGTTTAATTGTAATACAGTTGCTCAAGAAAGCAAAATAAACATTAAATCATGCATAGAATTTAGAAAGTTGTCATAATATTTCATGGTACTACGTTCTCAAGAAAATAGGATTCTAATTTAAAATAATTAGGTTAGTGGTTGATCATAATATCTGTATTTGTCGACATGAAACCAATGTTAGAGGTTCTTACATCAGTATGGAAGTAGTTGAGAATATCCGAAATCGTTCGAGTATAGTATAATATCTCATAATAGGTCATAGTAATTATTTTCTACATTGCTTTAGAATTGTTTCAATGCTTGAAAATATTCCTTAAGTAACCACCTACATCTAAATCTGAAGCATCCGCATAACTTATGCATAGGTAACAAGCAGTAATATTCCTTAATAAAGGTAGACGATTCTACAATTTACTGTGGAAGATTACTTCTTTCCACCTATACACACCTATTTTCACAAGATTTCTGCGGAAACCTCCAAGTGTATGTATTATTATTCAATTAGAAAAGGGTCGACAATTTCTGTCCTATTTTACTAGGAATGTCCCAAGAAAATTCTGAAAATATTTTTTTTTTCCATTGAAACAGAACATTTGATATTATGATATTAAACGTTCCTTACCAACTTAAAAAGTAATTATGCTTTTGAAACATAATGTGAAATTTGAGAAAATAAAAGAAGATGGAGAAATGCTGATTGGTTGTTTCCCGACACGTAAATTTCTATGGCAATTAGACCCGTAACTGGAGTGCATGTTTTATTGCGAGAGGTGACAGACTTCCCCTGCTGGATGGCGCGATCTACACCTCGACTGGCAGGATTTTGCCTCAATCAAGTATCTCCCACCAGCGGGGCACCGCCTCAGCAAGAACAAGTTTCCGACTAGTCTCTCCCAAATTATAGTAGTGTATGTGCAAGTGTTAATATGTTTAAGGGGCGCGAAAAGGGCAAGAAAGAGGAAGAAAAGATTGCGCGCAGTCCATGGCTCATTTGTTAGGAAACTATGCCGGCATTCGCCTAATGTTGATCGGAGAAACCACGGAAAACTAGCGATCAGTGACCTCTGGAATTATCCTCCCGACGGCTGAAATCCTCCTTGTCTAGCTAGTGTGACCTTGTCACCGTCGGGAGTCGAACCGCAGGAGCAGCGCATCGCAATGACATCCACTGACGAGCCTCGAGTCTCCTACGCCGGAGGGGAAATGTGTTATTTCTCACCGTAACTGTCAAACCTAATTAGCATTTCTACAATAAACGTTTTCTAATTTCTTTGAAACGGAAATAGTAAACATTCAGTGATTTTATGTAAGTTATTTAATTCATTAAAAAAACAATTTCGAATGAAGTTTTCAGCTAATACCAATATTTGATTTGCGGAAAAGTTGTTCGTCGAAAGTAAGAATATTGAGAACATTTTCGTTGCAACCTTGATACGAAACACTGGACATCTTCCAGATTCGTGGTGGTCGCATGGAGTCTTAATGAGCTGAGCAGAGCTATTTACGCGATCCGGCGCGTCCAGCTGCCATCGCCGCAGCTGCTTCTAGAAGGGCCGAGTGTTTGCAGCATGACTCACGAGTGTCCATAGCTCTCATTCGCGATGATCGTGGCTTGCTTACGTGCGCCGAAGAGAACTTCACGCTGGTACTGGCACTGGTTCTATAGCCGCTGACAGATACAATTGGCAAAATGATCCTTCAGTCTGTTCATCGACTGTTCTAAAAGACTAATCCTATTACGTAGATATCCTGTACTGCTGTTAATATTACGTAGCTATTAATTTAGTGCTAGGAGTCAATTGAATGGTAGTTTGAATTTAATATGAGAGCACTTCCTGCAAGACATATATAATCTCATGTTTGATTAAATAAAGTACTCTTCCGATGACAACATAATGCCATACAGGCATAATACCACAACAGTTAGAAATGTAGTGATTCGTTGCTACTGATTCCCCGTTTACGTAATAAAATATAAAATCCTTTAGCCGGGCGTATGGAGAAATAGCGTATTGGAGCAGGTTTTTCGTATCCCTGTTGCCTGTATCCCTCAGTGCGATGGATTCGAGAATTCGCGATTTCCGAGTAGAGACGACGCGTAATCTGTCACTGTTGGAAGTTGCTCTTCGCGTAGCAATTCTGCAATCCAGTTTAATAGGTCAACGGCAGCACAAGCCATGAAATAATTAATGTGAATAGCTGACCATAGCTAATACAAAAAACATCAGCTTGCCTTCAATAGCAAAAGTACGTGAACCAAATATTGAACCCAATACAATTTGCAAGTGAACGTCAAGAGAAATATACAAACTAAAAGATTCGAACCCATAGTTTTGTAAATACATTAAGAAAGCAGAAGCGCTCCCGGGTAAGTACAACACATGGGCACTTCGTGTTCGTTAGAATCAATTCGAGCGCTGTCAGTAATTGTCTGATTACTAAAGATTCCGGGCGCCTCAACTGCTAAGGTCATTAGATCCGTAAGTATAGTGCATTTTTGTTGCTCGGGATGAGGCGGCTAGGGTTTTCGCCAACCAGGTACCACCCACCAGTGGGTGCAGCCCTAGCTGAGACAAACCACGCTCCCGACTGGTCTCCCGGCATGTGAGGGAGTACAGTGCATGTAAGTGTATGAGTGTGTAAGAGTAGAATAGGGCAAGGAATGGGAAGCGAAAAATTCCGCGCGGTCCGTTTGTTAGGGAACTGCTCCGGCATTCGTCTTTTGTTGATTGAAGAAACCACGAAAAACTGCCGATCAGAGCAGCTGGCCGCTAGAATTCTCCTCCAGACCGCGACAGAACTCGATCGGAACCCTTCCATAGTTGGGGCTCGAACCCTCTCCCAGTCGGAGGCCCTGAGCCGCCTCTCCCGGTCGCGCGCTGTCGGCATGCCGCAGACAGAAAAAGCGCAGGGCCGTGACGGGAATTGGGAACGCTGCGTATTAATGAAGAAAGTAATACCACGCCATAAATTCTAATAATTTGTTTAGTCTCACATCTCCAGCGGCTGGCACTTTCACGTTAACAATTTTTACTTTATCTTATACATACCTATAAACAGGGTAATACATGTAGTATAGGGGAAGTTATGTAATGTACACGTAAGCTTCCGCGGTTGGAGTTCATGAATTCTTGGCTGTCCGGGTGACGCCGCGTCGTTGGCTGAGAGGCTGACCTGTCATATAGCAGGCTGCCTCACTACCTGCGCTATGACAGGCGACACGTCGGCCTCTCAGCCAACAACGCGGCGTCACCCGGACAGCCAAGAAGTTAAAGTTATGTAATGCTGCGCGTGAAACGGGAACTTTTCGGCGCAAAAACTTTTATTGCAGAGCCCTGATAACGAAGAAGCGGATAAATCCATATGTTAAATTAAGAAAAATATCTTCTAGTCCGTGGTGTAGCCATAATCCCGGTTTTGTGGGTCCTTGATTCAGCAAATCTATTTGATAGCAACACTTCCGTCCGTCCGTCAGTCTGTCAATATACGAAATGACATAAACGCCATTTTTATATTCTATCGTTTGTTTTAAAAAAAATCAGTTTTAGTTGTTTTGGCTTGTCTCTTACTCGTTAATATTTAAATTAACGGCAAATTGTTTACAATATTGCATTTACAAGTATATGCGCCGTAAATGTTGTCACATAATGTTTCTTCAAAACTCAATAGTTTTCTGTGAAAATGAGCTCAAAATTCTACTTTTTCAGAAACACTCAAATGTATTTTCTTCAAACGTTTCCAACGGATAGTGCTAATTGCACTGTTAAATGAGACATAAAGTTCGCACCCCCAGTAGAAATGTGTCATAACTCAAAAAAGTTGCATTTTGAGTTAAATTTATTATTTGAAGTGTAATTTCTCACGTGCTAAAAAACTGTCATTTCTTTTTAGGGCTATTTTAGTCAATTATTGTCGATGTTCGTGCTTCATAAACATGATTTGATAAAATAATTTCAAACCTTTAAAGCACTCTCCTGAAAAATCACATTTTTGTGTTACGACAACTTCTGTTGCTGCGAGTTCATTTTGCCGTGTCTTTGTACTTGACACTAAGCAAACGACAGATTGATTGGACGCAAAACTTTTCTCTGTCCATGTGTGGTCATCGCTAAACCGTTCAGCCAATTTTCTGAACAATGATATTTCCCTATCAATCTGAACAAGCTCGAGGCTTTGGATGTTTCAACCAAATATTTCGATTTTTGAGGCTACCTAACATCAAGCCTCAAAAACATTTTCAACTATAATATTGAAGGTAAAGATTTTTTTCGTAATGAAATCTGTTTTTTAAAGATAGATATTGAATGTGGTTCATGTACAATTTTTCGAAAATTTCTCCTTATATGTATCAAGGAACAGTGAAAAGCTTGGAGCTAGTCCCATTTTCGGCGAACTCGCCGCTTTTGCAAAAAATGCGAAGAGCAAACATTTCAAAACAATGAAATTGGATATAGAGATTTTTGCCTCAGACAAAGTAGTTTGTAAAAAATTAGCTCTTTAAAAAATGTTTATGTACAATTTATAGAATAAACGAGTAGTCGTGTCGAATAAACGAGTCGCGTGATTTGTGGTTGAATTTTATGCAGTTTCTAAAACAATTATTTTTTTAAAGGCCCCTCGACGTTTTTCTGTAAATGTTATCCATGGATAGAAGGGACGAATAAAAAATGCGTGAGTATCATTTTCGTTGAATTCTCTGAATTTTCGAAAATTGCAAATTTATAAATATGCCAGAAAGTATGTTATGATGTACCACCATTA